GACTACATGAGCAAGACAGAAGAAGAGTTCGAGAGTAGATGAAGGGTTGCTGCGGATCAAAAGTCGAGGGACGAGTTGCACATGTGGGCTCACAAAAGAACTCTTTTGCCTCCTTCGTGTTCCCTTAGATTTTTAATTAAATCGTTCCACGTAGATTGGCTCGGAGCTGGAAGCGAGAGAAGGGATCTCCAGACACGTCCCTGAACCCCCCGTCGATATCGCAGCCTCCCGCTGTCGCCGGAGCTCTGAGACTCCCCAGCATCCGCCCACTCACCTTTTCACCCTCTCTCTTCCACACGCACACAAGTGCCCGCAAATAAAAGTTCGTTCTAAATCGAGATCGATCCTCAGTTCACAGGTCGATCGAGAATGAAATTGAAGGATCGACAGAACGGACGGTAGAACGTGCATATCTGGAGGTAATTCCGAAATTCCAAAGTATCGTAGCCTTCCTCGTGGGGGCTCTAATGTCATGTGAGGAGGATCGTAATCTTAAATCTCGGCATCGGTAAAATTCAGTGTAAAATAAGCAAACGTAGAGGGAAAGCGGCTCATTAAAAGTGACATCCTCCAGTCAGGATGATTCGGGATCACTCGGGATCACTCGGGATCACTCGGGATCAGTGACTATCTCGAATTAGAAATTGCCGTTCTCCAGCTCCTCCTGAGGAATCACTTGACAATTCGCTTTTGAGATTTTAGGCGCAAGATTTGAGAGTCGATGTCAGTTAACGTAATTCCCAGGAGACAGTACTCGCCCTGGAGATGGTCCTGACTCGGCTCTTGACCGCGGACGTGGCCGTTCCCGTGCTGGGGACTTAGAGTGGGTCCGCGCATTAGAAGCAGAAAGCGACTGTGACAGAAAAGCGGAGCTGGTAATCTGCCAGAGAGACGTGGGAATGCCAGCGAAACCAGAGAGCCCGACAGAAGATGTGGGTAGTCCATGTTATTTCGTACGTGCGTGTGTCAAACGGTCCAAGCTAATCCACCAGGGGATGAGACGGGATTGGACGGGATTGGACGGGATTGGACGGAATGGAACGGAATGGAACGGAATGGAAGGGGACGGCGTAGGATTCGGGTCCCATAGCCTCCTCTCTTCCAGTGCCACACAGCCTATGCCCCACGGCTAGCCTAATCTCTCTCTGGAGCTTATATACGAGAAATGCGGACCGACGAGTTTAAAGATCGCCCCTCGGTCCCGTGCATTAGCCCTCCTCCTGCTCCTTCTCTCTCTCTTCTCCTCTCTGTAAGGCCTTCCAGCGACCCTCCCTCTTCTCTCGCTCTTCATCCTTCATCCTTCATCCTTCAACCTTCCACAGGTTATTCTTTTCGGATTCTTTGGACTCTCAACCGTTCATCCGTTCATCCGTTCATCCGTTCATCCGTTCATCCGTTCATCCGTTCATCCGTCTACTGGCCACAACTCTGAAATTGCCCTGGCTGTCCGGTATCACACAACTGCGATACTACGTAGGAAAAGGATGAAGAAGCGAAAGAGAATGTCCGAACCGTTGTGTATCGGAAGACGCTCGTCATCCCGGACGTCGCGACGTCCTCGTGACAGCCTCGCGTCCCGAAAATCCCTCCTAGCCCCCCCGCCCTCCCGCCCAGCCCAG